CCCCCAAGGGGAGGCTTTTGAAGATGCCTCCCCCCCCCCGTTTTGCTTCCCTTTCTGACATCACTTCTGGTGATGTCAGGGGGCGTTGCATATGCTAATGAGCTAGTATGCTAATAGCCTAGTAGCTCATTAGCATACCATATGCTAATGAGCTCCTGCAGCTCTTTTTCTACGAAAAGACCCCTGGTGTTAGCCAATCAGAGTTAAAAGATTCTGTGAGGGAAGGCTGTCTTGAGCTGTTAACTGTGGGAAATGGTGGTCTTTCCTCACTCAGAGCTACACTGAAGGGGACTGTGTCCTTTCCTCTCAGCTGCGGTCTGGTCTCACAGAGGGGACAGGCTGGTCTGGTGAGAGAAAGATCCCGGCAGGAGGCCAAGTATAAGAAGGCTGTAGGGCTTGAGTATTAACAGTTCAGGAGTCACAGGTAGCTGCATTAGCTTTGTGTTCTTTTGCCTTTTAAACACTGTTGTGTCTTTTAAAGCACCTTGTCTTGTCTTGTTTCCCCCCTGCCCAGTACTGTAATAATAAACCCTTTCTGTTTCACTGTTTCTCTCCCTTGGTCATCAAGCTTACGTTTCTCGGCTAAAAGGGGCAATTTGGATAGGCTTGGGAGGGTACCCTGGGCCTTCTCAAGGGACCCGAAGTCCAGGCTGCTGGCGGCAGAAGATGGCGACCCGCTGGGGTCATGACAGCTTGTCATAAATTTTCCAGAAAATGTTCTGATGCCCTCACACCGGTAATTGGAATGGAGACAAATTTGGAACATATATGGGGTTTCAGGAACAAACTCACCCATGTTACTTTTCTATTCTGAATACACTTGAAGTCTGTGAAAATGAAAGCAGTATATATTCCTAATATTTATTACAAAATCTTGTGGCACCATTTTCTGTACACAGGAACCTCCTTCATTGCAATGTACAATGAGCTCTATGTGATGGTGACAGAATTTTTTTTTTATTTCTTTGAAACAGGCAGCTGCTGAAAACTGAGCTGGGATCCTTCTTTACGGAATATTTACAGGTTCGTGCAATTTGCTCTTTTGCCACATAACTTTTTTTCCCTTATTCGTTCATTGGTTAAGTAACCTGTTCACCTTCACCAACTACACACAGCAGATGTCTCTATCCCAGTAACCTACAGTTTGAAAGCGTCTTTGAATTTTTGTTCAGTTCTTGGAGATACATGGGAATACGCATTTCAAGTGTACACAGAAAGGATATTAGAGATCTGTTTGGATTTATGTGAACAGCAAGATCCAAGACCGAGTTCTCAGCAAGGTGATAAACCTGAGATTGGGCCACACTATTTCCACCTGCTGATGCTGTTTCACCTAAAAACAAAAAAAAAACCACCCTGCTCATGGAAAACTAATATATCAGGGTGAAGGCTAGGTTAGACTGCTCCCTACCATACTGGCTGTTTGCATGCAGGGATTTTATTCGTATGGGGGAACATTCCATCATATGCAACTCCATCTGCAATTAGAAGTGATAACAGTCAGTGCGGGCTTACCACCTCCGAAAGAGAGAGCTGTCTAGTCATTGCTTTAATAATAAGGACAAGGTTCGCCCAAAAAAAGAATTGTATGCATTGTTTGTTATGTGATTTTTCTCAGTTAACAGATAGGCATCTACAGCTTCTGCATACTGACCACATGATTATTACAAGTGGCATGCTGATCCTTGTTAAGATGTAAATCTGTTACTTTGTTAGTGGTATCATACGGCACATCACTGCTGTAGCAGTATGTGAAAAGTCTTTTTTACAAGGTAAAATTAAATATAAAATACATGGCCCAGCCTTCCGTGACCCTAAGGCCCTGGTCACATGGAGCATTTGCCCCACTGAAGGCACGATACTGCGGTGGATTTTCTGGGCGCGATCTCACCAGAATATCTGGGAGCCGTAGCACTCCCACGGCAAGCCACTGAAGCTGCGTAGTTAAAAGCTACCAAGTTCGACCTACCAGCAAATGGTTTGGCACGGGCTGCCTCCGGACTCCTGTGGTGTGATCGCTCCGGCGTCCTCTTTGCTACGCGCGCTGACGGTGGAAGCCCCGGTGTGCCGCCGTCAAGTCTGATCGCCTAATCGCGCGTCAGAGTGCAACGGCGCAAAGAGCCACGCCTCCCCCCCCCATGTTTTCTGACCCGTGTGACCGGGACCTAAGTCAGCTTCTTGATAGTAACAATTGTGGGTCAGCACAAGAGTTTTCAGACTGGTGCTGGGGTTCCTCAGATGCAGTGTTTCCACAAAAGCAGTCGCCAGGATGCCAACAGCAAGGGCAAGTGACTTTAAAGCCCAAGGAATTTACCACACTGTACCTTTAAGAAAAGGCAAGGAGCCACAATAAACTGGGAGGGCAGCTTGCCCTACCTGAGTACAGAGGTTGGGCTCCAGAGCCCAGAGAGACTGAGGCACAGCAACAACAGCCCAGCCAGGGGGAGCCTGTTTGATGGAAACACAGGCAGAGAGAATTTTTCAGGGCACGTTTGGGGGCAACTAGGCAGACTGAGCCACTCCTCAGCCAGGAGGGGATTGCCCAGGGAGGAGCAGTCTTGCTAGCCAGGGCACTGGGAAGGTAGGGGAGCTGCGAGGGGCTGGGGCAGCAGCCTCCCCCCCCCCCCCCCAGGAAAGCACAGCAGTGCCTGCGTATGTTGCTTCCCATTAGGGAGATTTGGAGCAAGTAGGCAGAAGCCCCCGGTAAAGGGAGCGAGCAGATGTGCAGAGACGTCCCACCCAAGCAGGAGTGAGCCCAGGACACTCAGTGGGACTTCCTTCAGAGCAGTCATGCGCACAGGGAGATTCCAGAGAAGAAGCTGTGTTACAGCAAAGTCCTGTGCAGATTCACTCGGAAGTAAGTCCCACTCTAGTCGATGAGGCTTACTCGCAAGCCAGAAAGTAGCCACGTGGCTCCTTGAACGATGGAAATGTTTAGTGCGACACTTCACTGTAAAATAACGCAATCCAAGGCACTATACTGAAGTGCAAAAGAGTGTTATATAAATATTCTTTCTTCTTTTGCACTTCAGTATAGTGCCTTGGATTCCGTTATTTTACAGTGCTTTTTTTTGGTCAGTGCGACACTTCAACAGATGTGTGGAGCATGTCCTCAGTTGGTAGATATGTAAATGTAAATTCACAAACCCAGGCCTATGGCTATAGAGAAAAGTGCTGGGAGGCGCAGGCTGCGTGAATAGGATAGACAATATGCTGAGAGCTTTGCAGGCTGACCCAATGAGAACACGGGAGGTTCTGGAATCATTAATGGAAAAGGAGAATATTTTATTTGTTGGAAACATTTCAGTGCCATCTGTCCACCTAATTCAAGATCCCCAAGGTGGAATTTTGGCAGGTGCCGATTGACTCATGAGAGGTAAAGATAGCTGCACTACTTGAAATACACTCTCCAGCCCAGTTATGAGGGCTTATAATGTGTAAAGGTTCACATGTTTGATCTAGATGTGGATATAATAGAGTTATTTGGCGTTGAAGAAAAGCCAGTCTGTGCATTCTCCGGGGCATTTTTTCTTCCTGGCGTGGAAAACAAAGTATTGTAATGAACCACTTTTAGAAGGGACCCTGTGATCAAAATAGAAGAGAGACTCTGAGCAACAGGATCGAAGAACTGAAAGATTACTTTTGTTTTATTTACAGAACCAGCTTCTTACAAAAGGCATGGTCATCCTGAGGGACAAGATCCGGTTTTATGAAGGTATTTGAGACCTCAGTTATGCCAGCTGAGCTTTGCCCCAAATCCAAGCTCTGGGTGTCTCCACGTGGGTTATATACCCCGAGTTCAGTGGTACTGGGGGTGGTGGTATTGGTCCAGCTTCCTAACAGCAATGCGGTGCATTCTCACATCTCCCAGGGTTTCCCTGGCTTTTCTCCATTCTTTCTCAAACCGGCTGTGCTTCATCGTTTTAGAAAAGAGGGCAACAAAACTGGGGGGGCTGCTGTTTGGGGTGGGGAAACTCAGCGGGGGAGACGACACAGCTGCCTTTTCCTCTCCTGCAGAAGGTTTTACTTTTGCTTTTTTTTTTCCAGTCGGCAGTTTAATAGCATTATATCAATATACCATTACGCCATCAGGTTCTCTGAACTTCCAGTTTTCATTTTAAAAAGCGGGAGGAGTCTCTAGCCGCTTTCCTTGCAGAAATAAATGGAAAATACTGTCTCGAAAACAAAATAGGGTAGAGGCTTTTTTCAAATGAAGGCTGGGAATTCAGAGAACCCGATGCATATTTTGGTATAATAGTATGTTGATATACACTATTACGTATTTTCAGTTTTTTAAAAGTACTTGGGAAACCTGCTGTGCTGTATTAGCAGCAGCAACGGGGAAACGGTGCACCTCTGTACAGATCTCATTCAAACTGGTTCGCACTGTGCCCTTTGACTAAATGTTTTTGGGGTTTTTTTCTGTTTCTAGGACAGAAACTTTTGGATACCTTGGCTGAAACTTGGGATTTCTTTTTTAGTGATGTCCTGCCCATGCTCCAGGCCATATTCTATCCTGTGCAGGTAACACATTACTGGTTACTCTTGAATCCAGAAAACGCTAAAGAAGAAACTCTGCCGGTGTATTAACAGATGGCCACCAATTGTCAAACATCCCTTGTGGGGCATAGCTGAGCTCAGCGCCAGGGTAGGCAGCAGGTTCCTACTTGGATGTGCAAGTTACATGGAAGGGGGAGTATTCAAAATGGAATTGTGTGCACAGGTGGCTTTTCTCTGCATTGCTTGTTGTTTGCAGTGCCAATAGAAAACAATAACTCTGACTTTAGAAAGTCACTCTGTTTTTTACTGCTTGGTGAGTGTCCAGTATAATCATGGACAAGCAAAGATCCAAAGACCTTTGCAACTAGCATGCCCAGTGGGGATGTGGACTAAGGTTTGTGTCTTGTCCCCCCTCCCATGCCATACGGCAAGCCACTTTTTAGGCAGAGAATACATGAGAAAGATTTATGCCTTAAAGCAAAGTTTTAAAAGAAAAGTCTGTGAAATGAGATTAATATATATTTGGCCAACCTTCTATTCCCATACGAAATGAGTAGGCTGTACAGATTTTTGAACTGGGTGATGTAGAAACTGGTAGGTATAAAATCTGATGCAAAAGTTCTGCCAAAAGTGCAACATATCAGTAGTTGGGATTCTGGAGTGGCTTTTCAGACAACAACACTGCTATCAGTTCTGCCTATGCTTGTAGTTCGAAGCATCGCCCATTGTATTTGCCATACCATGACATCTATGAAGTTTTCTGCTCAAGGCTATCACTATATGAGGAGTACTAGATAGATAGGTAGGCATCTGTAGAACAAGTCAGTGGACCTGAATACCCTTGTAGAGAGATTCACTGGTAGTGCCACCACAGAGAAGGCTCTGAGACAGATCCCTGGTCAGGTTGTAGACACTGTAGTAGTTTGTTCTCTCGGGATACAGGGAGGAACATAGGAGAGAATGTGTTCCTTCAAAAACTGCAGTTGAGTCGAAATATGCTGTTTAGTATGTTAGAAACTACTTTGGCTATGCAGTAGCTTTCAGATACTACCTATGGTATGGATTATTTTTAATGTGGGAGATCGACGAGAAATTGGTACAGAATTCTTACAACCCTAAAAAAATTTCAAACTAGAAGTAGAATGCAGTATACAGCACAAGTCAACATGATACCATTTTGACAGCTCCTCTGTGTTCATTTTTATACTGCAAAATGTGCACAGTAAGAATAAGCCCTCTTCTCCCCTGTAACTGAAGGATGTGATTTTGGGGGCATGCCCACCCAGCCCCTTTCTGCTTTTTCTGCCTGCTTCACTTGGGAGGACACAGAGCCCTCACAGATTGCTAGAGGAGTTCCAGTTTTTCTTGCATACGCTATGCTACTTACTGCTTCCGATCTGCTCTTTAAAGAAAATGCAACTCTGTGTTTGCCTCTTCAGCAACAGCCTGCCTTGGAGGATGCTCAGCCAAGGCAATGTCCGCCCACAGCTCCGCCGCAGAACCCGCGGAAGCTTTTGGAGGGGGATGTTTCCATCCCTGCTCCCCAAGCCCCATGGTAGAAGGGCTCCAGGGCTGCTGTTGACAGGGGAAGTCACAGCTCACCCCTGCCATCATCTGAAAATGGTGCGGAAGCCAATTTTGGTACCAAAATCCTGCCTGAACACAAACAGCCTCTCCGGTGGCGTGATGTCACTGGGCTGCTTCCCAAGCCGCAGTGAATAATCAGATCACCCCAAGCCCTCTCAGTGTTTGCAAGATGAGGAGGATGAAGAGGAAATTCCCTTTGAGATTGTAAAATGGCTTAAAGGATATATTGCGAAGCCCATAGCCAAGAAGATAAAGGAGTCCAAGAGCCGCAAGTGTCCCAGATGTTCTCCCACCCTGATTTCACCCTTAGCCTCTTGAGATGGCCGAGCAATGTGGATCCTCCTAGCTGTGTGGAGATTTAGTGCTACAAGTTCCTATCTGAGTCTGAGGTTTTCCTGAGAAGTTACTGAAATTCTCTTGTCATCAGGTTCTGCTAGCAGGTTCTGTAATGGTGCTGTAATGGCCATTGGTGCTGTAGAGGGAAGGGGCTGCAGTCGTACAGAGCTTCTATTCCTCAGATCCTTTTGTTTTTACAGCATGCCATATATTACATTGGAGCTGCGGTGGCTCAAGTGGTTAAGACGCTGAACTGCAGGCTGTGGAAGGTCAGTAGTTCAGCAGTTCGAGACCCGGGTGTGCCGCATGATGGAGTGAGCTCCCGTCTCTAGTTCGAGCTCCTGCCAACCTAGCAGTTCGAAAGCAAGAAAATGCAAGTAGATAAATAGGGACCACTTCGGTGGGAAAGGAACAGCGTTCCGTGCGCCTTGGTGTTTAGTCATGCCGGCCACATGACCACGGAAACGTCTTCGGACAGCGCTGGCTCTTCGGCTTTGAAATGGAGATGAGCACTGCAACCCTAGAGTCGGATTCGACTGGCTTTCGAGCAGGGGAACCTTTACCTTTACCTTTATATATTACATTACATTACAGGGCTGCAACCCAATACCCTGCACAGCCAAGTAGCAGGACAGTCTTCAGTCCTTGACTGGGCAGACAGGATTCCCAACTCTAAAAATCCCTCTGTTTAGCATTTTCTGTATGGGCAGCATTGTCATGTCCACTGACAATTCATCACGTCCCATCATAGTGACTTTATGTTGAACTTGCAGCACTCAATCTCCATGCAGGTAGGTGGAACCCTGGGTCATGATTGAGAACTGGCCACCCTTTGAACCACTGAGAGGCGCGTTTGAAGCACCTTCCCTTTAAGTGGTTTTTGTGTATGATGGTTGCATTAGCGCACCAAGTCTTGAAACTGGGTAAACTGTCTATAAGACCTGAATTGTGCATTTTCCATAAGGGCAAGGTAGTTCCGCATCAGATCCTACCTTTGTTCCCACTGTAGACTCCCACTTTCACATGTCACAGGAGTTATGTTTGCAGTCTTTTTGTCCTAAATCAACACATCCAAAGGAAAAGTACTAGCATATGTTTGACCTACATTGATATTCAGTGGACCAATCCCTTTAACAGGTCGGATTTCCTTTTTGTTTCCTTTCTCCTAATAACCGAAGGCCAGTTAGTACTCAAGTTAAGCAGATGGTGAAGGGAATGCCTTTGTTCATGCTGTGAGACTTTCTCCTCCTCAGTCTTTCCAACTTTCTATTTATTTACATCCAAATGGGTAGCCATGTCAGTCTATCTGTAGCAGTAGAAAAGAGTAAGAGTCCAGTAGCACCTTAAAGACTAACAAAATTTGTGGCAGGGTAGGCCCTTTCGTGAGTCACTGCTCACTTCTTTAGACATAGCTAGAATGTGTCCATCTGTCCTTATATCTTAGAGAATGATTTCAGATGCTGAATTACAATAGCAGGTAAGAAAGATGATTGGAAAGGCCAGATTGAGACCCAGGGACATCTTGCTACAACACAAGCCTGAATAAAATCACAACAGAACAACACTGGCTCCGGTCACACGGGCAGGAAACTGCGGGGGGGAAGCGTGGCTGTTTGGCCCGGGGCAAACTAACGCGCGGTTAAGGGATCAGACTTCCCGTGGAGGTTCCGTGGGAAGGGAGAGGTGCTGATCACAGGACGATCCTGCACGCAACAAAGAAGCGCGCGGTGCGGCAAACGGGTGGGGTTTTTTTGTCGTGTACACCATAAATGCGCATGCTCCGTTGGGTGCTTGTGCGCATCCACAGAGACTTGGGGAAAAAAAACCTTGTTTGCAAGGGGACATGGGCGGGCGCCGGATGCCACCGGAAACACGATCAGACGCCCGCCCTTGCCCCACAGTTTCCAGAAACTAGTACCTCCGAGGTACTAGTTTTTAGCAGCACGGTTTTGGCGGGAAGCCTCGGTTGAGCCACGGGAGCGCTACGCCGGTGAGATCGCGCCAGGAAACTCCGCCTGACTTCTGTCTCTCTAGCGTGGCTAATGTTCCATGTGACCGCAGCCACTGATGGTCACGTACAGCTCACAACTCAAGCCAGTCCAATGTGTTATTAACAACCTATAACCCATGCTGGATAGTGACACTTCCATCACACGGCCACTGGGGGGCCGACCGTTTCTTGCCTACAGACAGCCTGCTAATCTAAAACAACTTCTCACCCGTGGTGATAAACTACTTAACAGTCACATGGACTCTGGTACCAAGGCCTGCAACAAACCAAGATGGCAACTTTACCCTCAAAAAATCCTAGCAACACTATCACTGGACCCAGCAACATCAGCCATACCATCTCAGTTTCATAGTCCTGTTCATCCTCTAATTTGATTTATCTTTGTTGCATTTTCAGTCCTTTCAACCGTAGGTTGGTAGGATTATAGATAAGATGAAAACAGAGCAAATCAATAAAACAGTAAATACTAAGCTCATTTAAAAATGTATGCAAGAAATCTAGCAACAGCTCCCAACCAGCCCACATCATTTGAAAACAACAGTTTCAGAATAATGTAATTACTAGAGCACTGAACCTCAAGAGTTGACAAGAGATCTCAGTGTATCACGCCTAGCTTCAATAAACAAAGGACAGCGTAACAGCACATGTGAGATGGTTTCTGTTGCTCCAGACGCACAACAATTTCTTTCAATCCAGGGGATACCTTTAAGCCTCCCTGTGTATCTGGCTGTTGGGAGCGAATCCTGTCTCGCCAAAAGGATTAAATGTCTGTGTTTGGGATTTTTTATTGTAACCAAATAATTAGCAACTGTAAAGGAAGTTGTAGGGATATAGCCATAATACAAAGGAGAACACTTCCTGTATGAATTAGTAAGTAATCCAACCAATTGTGAGATAAAATTGCTTCTGTTATTGTTTTCAGTAGGTGATCAGAATAGTAATTAAATAGATCAACATCTAACAGAAATCTCAGTTCACAGTTTTTCAAAGAAGGCATTAGCAGTTGATGATAAAAATAAGTCTTGCCTTATTAGATGTATTAGTTGACTCGGGGGTTCTAATAAGAATATTTGCACCGCATTTTAATGGC